AGACAAACCTTTTAAAGGGCTTTTCAAATTTCTGCTTACCATCCTTACTGTTTCACATTTTGAGTTTCTTTTATAGGTCTCAAAAAAATGAACTAATGAAGTACATTGAAATACAGTGTATACTGCTGGCTAGAAATAAATTAAGATCAATCTGTAGATTCACAGCCTCTGTCATTTGTGACTGGTTGTCACATGAATGAAAATGAGCTGGCTGAGCTGCTGACTGGATAAGGTTTGATAGCTTTGGAGGATAGTAGTAAAAGAACATTATTTTCCTGTGTGTGGTATAGAAAATGCACCCTAGAGACACCATGTGTAGATTTTTTCATCTAGTAATTCTTTTGGCTTAGTGACTGCTTCTATATCCATAAAAACACTAAAACACAAGAACTCACTACTTTTTGGAAAGGATTATGTCCCTTTTTCCAGTCAGTCATAGCCTTCTTTTCTGGTACTGTTACCTTTGTAAGGGGCTAGGGCCATGTGCTGAGTACAGAATTAAATCCATGAGAAGCTTGCCTAGGGTAACCAGTGCTGAGCATGATCTATTTAGTGGCTTGGCTGCCGTGTTCCAGATGAGGTTTTCAGATAGCTTCTAGTTGCACTTCAGTGTCATGGTTTGCCTTTTCTCAGGGGGGAAAAGGTTTGCAACTCTTTGTGATCTCCTGCTGAGTGATTAACTTACTGCTGTCTGGCAGCAATTAAACAAAGTGATCAGAATGTAACCAGATACCCCTATGGACATTGTGTTCCAGGCTGTACTGTGAAGGACACTGAGCTCCATAGTGTTCCCAGGCTTTGTCCTACAGAGTGTCAAATATTTAAATTCCATTAGTGTTGTTACAGGGGTGAATTGTTGTTCTTTTCTATTACCTTTTTTTCTAGCTAAGTCTTGAAATGGTTTGATGGTACACTTTTTTTTCCTTAAGAAAATGTGCACTTTAATTATTATTTATTTATGGTATTGTGCACTTAATTTAAGGCAGCTATTATTAGTATATACAGTAAGGATAATATCTGTATTAACTGATGTGATCAAAGTTCTTGCTTCAGAGTGATTGCAGGCTTTCAAGCCAGTTCCTTGATGTGGATTATTAATTCTGAAGTTGGGATGTGTGTTAAATTATCTGTGAATTCAAGAGAGACTCTCATTGAAAGCCTTCAAATTTGAATAATTGGGATAAAACAATTGTTTGAACCATGCACTATTTTCAAATCCTCCTGGTTTTTTTATGGTCTTAGGCAAGTTGTTTCTAGTTTTCCATTCACTTGTTTGTAAAGTAGTTTCTCGTATGATGGGAGGTCTCTGAAGTTGCAATAGTTAAGAGAGCTTAGCTCCTTTGAAATCTTGTAATTATTCTAAATCTTCTGAGCTACATTTTTTAAAAAAAGTGAATTTGGTACTTTGTTCTTTCCAAAGCATTTGGAAAGTGGAAACTGAAAGTGTTACCCAGAAGAAGTAGTAGTCGTATTTTTGTTTTCTGTATTAAGTACTACAGCTGGACATCAACCACCAAGTACAATTTTTTGGGGCAAAAGGACAGAGTGTTCCTTTACATAGTGCCAATTAAAATGTTGACAGTAACCTCAAGGATTGCAGAATGGGATATTTAATGTGAGGGAGAAAAACTTGAAGACCAGGTTTTTATAGAGGAGGAATGTTCTCAATACATGCTGGCATGCAAGTACTGATAACATGGGGACCTTTGTGTTTGAGTGCTGCCTATGGCAGTCTGAAATACCTGTTGGAAAGTTTTCAGGAGGGCAGTATCTCATATTGGCAGTGTCATTTTGGTAAAAATTAATCCCTCTTAGAATAGCATGAGTTGTAATACTTCTGAAACTGGAAGCAATGCTGATTTTAATCTTTAACCCCTGGTTTTGGGTAAGGGAGCTTGAAGCATAGAGAAGCCTTGTAAGGTGTGTGATGTGGTGCTTATTTTATCAGGCAAATTCTTCTGCATCAATTTTGAAAAGCATTAATAGAAATGTTAACTCACACCTTCCTAAAGTATGATTTCCCTTTGAGTTCTGCTTTGCTCTGTTTTTTGCTCAGATTAGTGAACACATCACCACCATCAGCCTGGGGTGGCTTTTTGATACAACCTGCTTGATTAAACCTTGGTCTGTGCCACTTGCTTCCTGCCCTCAGACCAATTCCCTTACAGTTGCAGGTTAAGACCTTCAAGTTAGTTGACCTGTTCCTGGGACAGTGTTTCTGCAGACCAGATAAAAATGGTTGTGGGCAGAGACCCTGCTTTCTGCTTGGCTATCCCTGGCATGGGTGTCTTTTGCCTCATACCAGAGCTGTGTGGTTTGTGGTTGTTGTTTGGATTTGGTGTTAACCATGCTTGCTTCGCTCTAGTAAAAAATGTGCTGATGGAGGATCTGTCAGAAAAGGATTTATAAAAATTTTCCTGCTATGTAATTCCATACAATTTACTGAAATGTGTTTAGAGTTCAGCAGAGTTGTTCTGAAATGAAATATAAGTACTTCCTCCTGTCTCAAGTGTTTTGTGAGAGCATTGGTCTTTAGAGAGTTGAACAGTGTACTCACGTATCACACACACCATTTGATATTATTTATTGAATTCTTACAAGTGGGGAAATAGCTAATAAAGTACCTATGTGTTCTTTTCTTTGGACACTTCACTGAATAACCAGAATTGTTTGTTTCATCAGATTGCACTGGCTGACTTGCTTTTGAAGTTTTGAATATACTTCTTTCTCTTTCAAATTATTTTGAATGGAAAATATTATTAACTAAAATACCACTTGGTGGACATCTTTGAAAAGTGCTTTAATTAGCTATTATATTTCCATAATAAGGACAGCTAACTTTGGAAAAGTATTTGTATAGACTTGCATCTCTGCCAAAGCAAGTAAATAGTATCTAAAGGAGGCTGTGTTTATAATTCCAAAGCTGTTGGTAAAAAAAAAAAAAAAATCATAAAAAAAATCGTCAGGTCAAGAATACGATCTCTTTGGAGTTCTTTATCCTTGCCACCCATTTATTATAAATAAGCATTTCATTATTCCTATTTTTGCTCATTTTTTACAAAACCTAGTGTTTTAGAACTATCTGAGTTGCAGCTCAGTAAGACTGCCTCCTTTTCCCACATGCTGTAATACCTTAGGTTGTTGGATTGGTTAGTTTTTTCTTTTAAAGCACCTTTCATAATTTCTCATTTGTGTGCTGAAGTCCTGCATGCAGTGTCTGCTGAGTGCTGACAGCCTCGCTGTGGCAGTGGCGCTCAGCAGTGCTGCTGAAGGCAGCGGGTGCCAAGTGTCACGCCTGGTCTCTGCAGTGACCTTCACTCTGCGACCGTCTGAGTAACTACATGCAATGCTTTGCATGTAGAACTAGTTCAAGGACAGCCATATCGCTGTGGTCCTGTGCCTGGTTCAGTAGATGTGCCAAAAGAAGGATGTGATGCAGTGCTGTAGTGACTACATTGCTTTGGCATTCCAGCTGATAGTTGTGCACAGGATTGTTTGTGCTGCATAGTTTAAACATGATCATAGTTCGAATGCCATGATCAATTTTGTATGTCCAGAGTTGGTTTTGGTTCTGCAGGCAATATAATTTTGTCTTCACAGTCTCTGTAAACAACCTGAGTTGATGGAGTTGATACTTTGCAGTGTATGGAAATGCTCTGCATAGACAGCAGGACCATGTATAAGAGAGGATGGGCATTTATTATTTACTGTTTAAAATTTGGACTAATTAATGAAATCAGAAACAATTCCTGAGAGATAAGGTGTGATCTTATTACCTGTGTCATTACACGTTTTCATGTGTAGTTGGAAAGCATCTGGAATTTTTCTTGTTAAAATTTTATTTCAAAAAGTATAGCTCAGTGTTAATTATAGACATGCATTGAGGGTTTAGCCACTACTGAAAATTACTGAGAATAATGCTTGCCTGTGTTACTTACAATATGTGTAGACAGCTATTTTCAAGTTATCTTGTCTTGTCCCCACATTTTGCCACTCAGTCACTTCTTATCCCATGATTTTTGGAGGGAGAGGGTCTGGTGGAAGGTGGGAAACAGGCTGAAACTGGCAGGGCACAGGCTTGGAGTTCAAAGCCAGAGAGACTGAATCAAGTGCAAGTTCAGAATCTTTCTGTGTGGCAAAACAAAATGGTTTGGGACTGGAAGAAGGGCTAACTGAGGTCTACCAGAAATGCCACAGGGAATTTGGATAGGGGCTTGTGGGTTGTTGAATTGTGACTGGTGAGTCTGCAAAGGGGCATCAACACTGTGGGCATTGGTGCCTACCAACATCTGTCACTGACAGATGAATCCTGCAAAACCATATTGTAGGCTGCTTCTGTTATGTCATGAAAACTTCAAGATTCTACCTCTTCTTCTTTTGGTGGTCCCTCTAAATAATTTCAAGCTATGATTATTTAAAAGGATAGTACAGTGTTTGGGCTGAACTTTTTTTCATAATCTGGCTTTGTACATCAGAGCACAACATTTCACGTGTTTTTTAGGGATCTGTCAGTAGCCAGTGCTTATTATATAAATATTTTAAAATAGTAGTATTTCAGAAATAAAAGTGGATTGAGAGTAGCTCATAAAATCAAGAAAAAAGCTTGCCATTCCCAGATATTTCTAGGAGAATTTTCCAGGTATGGGATACGACTGTGGTGCTTTCACAGTAGTAGACAGTATCTTGGAGTTTCAGAGAAAGTGTCCTCTAAAATTCTGTGTTTGCACTTATCTACAGATATTATGTCTGTTTTCAGAGAGAAATGTATATTACCGAGTTTTTTTATAAAGAAGTTTTTGTTTGGGAACTGTAAGGTTTTTGTTAAAAGAAAACTTGCTTTCCATATCAAAATGTAATTTATGCATAAAAGCAGATTGGCTTTTCAGCTTCTTGATCCAGACCAAATTAGTGTTTCATCATTATACTGATATTGATTGGTGTAATGTAAGTCAGACCTAAATATATTTTTCTTTCTCCTTTTTTTTTTTTTGTGTGTACAGAAAAGATGAAAAGGAGTATGCACTGAAGCAAATTGAAGGTACAGGGATATCCATGTCGGCCTGTAGAGAGATTGCAGTAAGTGTACATAAATGAAAGTCATTTTACTGACATTATTACTCAACAGGTATTTTATTTTCCTAGAATTAAGTAATGTGGAGATTATCCAAATGTTTTCTTTAAAGTATGCAAGCATAGAAGTTTATTCAGATCTGAGCCTTTAAAAGAAGCTTTTAAAATAATAGTTTTCTTTTAGTTCTTTTCAGGTAATAGTAATGCCTCTTTCTGATATAATTTTGTTTCATCTTCTTTTATGTGTCGAGAGGGAAATAAATACCAACTTCTAAATGAAGACTTACTTTAAAAAGGAGTGTTTTTAAAATGACTTGAAAGAAAAAGGTTCTGAAGGATTACAACTACCATCTGAAGTCCACTTACTAATAATGTATTTTATTTTAGACTAATGGTGACTGGTGGTTCTTTGGTATCTGAGAACATTTTGTTCTCCTCATTTTTAATTTGTTTTGCCAAGTACAGGGAAATTTCATAACAAAATGAAAAGTAGCTCTAATTATATTTTTTTTTTACATGTGTCTTTTATTACATACCTATTATTCCTTCAAATTGGGTAAAAATTAAGTGTTTGTAAATAAAGGTAGAATTTGATCTTTAAATGTTTTTTATGTCTGAAAATGTGCATTACTGACAAAATGCTGGATACTGAGTAGAATTTTGTAATGCAAGTATTTCTTGCATTGCAAAAGGAGTCCACTTGCTTGATTCAATGTTTACCTTGACTTACTGCTGTCAGTATGCAGTCAGCTGTTGAATGTATCTTAGGATTGTGCCTAAAGCTTTTTATAATCTGGTAGTGTTGCAGTGAAATACAGCATTCAGATGTGCAATGCAATGTGAGGCATTAGAAACTCATGGTGTCCATGAACTGAACAAACCACTGGGTTGTGTTTAGTGTAGTGTCCATGGTGATTCTGTATGAAGAGACTTAACAGATGAAACTGCTGTCCTTTTAAAGTGCTTATCGCTATGAAGTCAAGGTCACTCCTGGATTTGAGAGGTAGTTGCATTGCTGTCAGTCACTTTACACAGGATTTACCCAGTGACCTTTTTTTGCTAATATTTCTGCCTTTGGAGGAAATAGGAAATCCTTTTAACATCAGTACTAGGTTATATTCTTGGTACTACAAAGTCATTTTGGACAATATTGAGGGGTTTTTGTTTCTTGGATTCTTGTTCTTTGTTTTAAATTCTACTTCTGTGGAGATGTGTGGATTAGTTTGAAGGAGACTTTCTTGTGGGCATGATAGCACTGTGATATGGAGCTGGTTCTGTCTACCTGGACAAAACAATGTAAGGAAGGAGAGAGTGTCAAATTATGTTTTAACTCCCATGATACATCACTTTAAAAAAAAATTAATAAAGCTTTATACAAAGGTCAGTACAGCTTATGAATTTTGGCATCTACTGTGTAAGTTACTTGGCTGCTTTCAGTGGTTCTTCTGGTAATTTTTCCATGAGTTAGATTTAATATTTCTTCTTCAAACCTTATTGTAAAACTCTGTAACCTGAGCTAATGCAGCACATCAGCATTTGCCTCAGTGAAATTTCAGGGCAAATATTAGAATTGTGAAATAGTTGAAAAAAAATTACTAAGTTTTTGTCATATGGCCAAAACCAAGTGCATTTTCCATAAAAAGAAACAGACTTTAAATAATGCATCAATAGCTTATCTTATATTTAAAGGCTTAGATAGGTGACAAGGAGGGTAATGTTTACTGATTAAATAAAGATGATCAGCCTGGACAGAGGCCATTTAAAAAATGTCATGAGTAGTTTTTTTGGCACTTAAGCCTTCCCCTTTGCTCCAGCAGCAAAACAAACCCAAATCATGCTTTGAAAGATGAGAGAATGACAGAGACACCAGTGTACCTGGTTCTGTGTGTGTATGTTCAGAATATTTTAATGGTTCTGTAAACTTTGGACACTTGACATTGCACTCAAGAAATATATTGCTGAACTGAAAGACATTCAGTTTTACAGTCCAAGACCATTTTGTGTGTCTTATTGCATAGATACCTATAATAGGATCTGCTGGCTGGCTTTCCCTAGAGGAAAAGGCAGATGACTTCTCTTCTGACATTACAAATCAAGTTGGTCTGTCTTTGCTTAGGACTTCAAAACCCATAAAGTTTCTCTTACTGGTATTCAATTGTAGGAGCTTTTTCTGGAAGAAAGTTTATATCAGTAGAAACATCATATAGTCAGTGGTTCCTGTGGCAAGTGATTGTTGCTTTATTTCAGCTGTAGGGTGATTCCTGCTTAAAGAATCCTTATTTCAGCCAGTTCTGCTGTATTGAGTACCAAAATATTAGAAAGGACTCTTTATACCTCAAAGAATTCTGTGAGTGTGTAAAAATTGAATTAGTTCCCTGTAACTCAAGTGTGGTCTGAAGACAACTGAAATGCTAACTATTTCTGTGTTCTTGTTATGAGGCAGATTATTGCTTGGCTTAAGCAACAGCATTTTCTGAAGAGCAGAGCTGTAAAATGTGAATGGGAGTAATGAAATAGACTGTTTCTATTTTTAGATGATTATTTAGTTAATGAATGTGACATTTCTTTCAGCTCCAGGCTTGCATTAGCTTATTTTGGAACCTGAGGTGGGTTGAAATGAAAACTTTAATTCTGTTGCTTTTGTGTTTTACATTTTTCCTTACCTTATCTAAGTAGGTTCTTTAAAACAAGAAGTGGAGACACAAGAAACAGACCAGAGGAGTATTATTTGTTAAGGCTGTGTTTTCCTGTTGAATGTCTTGGCTGTCATCTGTTAAGAACCACAAGCTAAGACTTTTAAAATCTGCAAACAGGTAGTGGTAATGGAATTTGATGTTTCTGTATCAAAAAGCAGGAGGGTAATACAGCTTTATCTCAGAGTTCTTGTCCCAAAGGCTGCACTTCCTGTGAGAATACATTCAAGTTAATTCAAGGACTTTGTTTTTCACAGTAAAGAGACTATAAACTTTTAACTGTGGATTTTGGGAAAACTTAATTCAGAAAAAAAGAATACTAATACGCCTTTCCTTAGTCACTCACCAATAATGTAAATTGTAAATATATGGATATGTATCCTGTCCCTGAGCATGGAAGAACTTCAGTGCAATTGTTATTGGCTTATTTAGCTGATATGATGGGGTTGAAGATGGATTCACTAAGTGAATGGAGCATGTCAAAAAGCAGGATCATGACCCTGGAATTTAGGACAGCAGACTTGAGCCTCTTCAGGTATCTGCTTGGAAGTATTCTGTGAGACACAGCCCTGGAGAGAAGAGGGGTTCAGAAAAACTTGTTGATGTTCAAGGATCAGCCCATCCAAACTTAACGAAGTTCCACCCCAGCAAGGGAGAAAGCAAATGAGGGCAACAGGAGGCCTGTGTGGATGAGAAAGGAGCTCCTTATTGAACCTGGACATGAAATGGAATTATATGTGAATTGGAAGCAAGGATAGGCAGAACAAGAGAAGTATAGAGTTGCTGTTTGATCTTGCAAGAACAGGGCTTAGAAAAGCCAAGGCTGACATGGAGTTGGATCTTGCAAGGGACCAGAAGGGCAACAAGAAAGGATTCTACAAGTACATGAATGTCAAAAAGAAGACTAAAGAAAATATGAGCCTGCAGCTGTATGGGAATAAATGGCATGAAAAAGGCCAAGGTACTCAATTTGTTCTTTGTCTTAGTGTTTAACAGTCAGTCCAGCCTTCAGGAGTCTCATGCTCTTGAGACCAGAGAGGAAGCTGAGGAAGGAAGCTTTACCTTGCTGGAGGAAGTCCAGGTTAGGGAAAACTTAAACTGGACATTCCCAAGTCTGTGGTACCTGGTGGGTTGCACCCACAAGTGCTGGGAGCTGCTTGGATTTTGTTATGAGACTACTCTCAGTTATCTTAGAATGATAATGGTGAATTATCTTTATCTCTTATTATGGAATAATTATTATGAATTATCTCTTCTTAGAACAAGTGTCACTCCTGTTTCCAAGGAGGATCAGGGGACCTTCAAGTTGGTCAGCTCCACTTTAGTCTCTGGGAGGATGATGAAGCACATCCTCATGGAAACCATTTCCAAACACATGCAGGACAAGATGGTGATTGGAAGTAGTCAGCATGGATTTTCAAAGGGAAAATAATCCTTAACCAAACTATTTGTCCTGTATAATAAGATGTCTGGCTTGGTAAATGGGGTGAATGCTGTAAATTCTGTTTATCTTGATTTTAGTAAGGTTTTTAATGGTATCTTCCATAATATTCTCACAGAACAGCTAACACAGTCTACAGACAAAAATGACTTTATGAAAGGTTTCACATGAACCAGAGACTTGAGTCAAGACTTAGATGTTCTTTGTTCAACTTCTGGTCCTTTCTAGCTTTTTTTGCATCCTCACCAGTAAGAATTTCCCTTCTTCTGAGGATAAATTATGAACTCTAGCCTTCTTCTCTGTAAATAGTGACCTTAATTCTGAACTTAATTCAATTTTTCTATATCAGGGTGGTTTTATAGCTCATTCTTTTTTTCCTGTAGGGGAAAAAGAGACCAGGCTGTTGCAGATGATTTAAATGGGAGAAGCAGAGCCGCAAACCAGCATTGCTAGCCTAGTGTTTTTTGAGTGCCCTAAATTGGTGCTGCTTTGCCCTGTGTGAATGTTGGGTCTGGGTCCTGTAACCATTTTAGTTGCCACATCCTGTGCCTGTGTGTGCTGGTTTTTAGGGGAGGCTACTCCTTCTGGGAGGCCTTGATATGGTGCCAGTATGCTGTGGCACACTAGTGGGAGCATCAGTTGGCCTTTGTTGTTCAAACTTGCATTTATGGGTTCAGGCTAAAATAAATTCAGACTGTAATGTTAAATGAATTACTGAAAGCTCAGTTGAACAATTTAGCATGCACAAATCGTTCTCAGTCCTTTTACCTACTTATGCAGTATATGTTCCAAAGTAGTACAGCATACAAATATTTTGGTTCCTGAGGGTGGGCAAAGTTTTAGAAGCCTTACATTTAATAATATATCTTTGT